ACAGCAAAGGGGGAGAACGGAGGGGACAGCAAAGGGGAGGAACGGATGGGGGACAGCAAAGGGGAGGAACGGAGGGGGGACAGCAAAGGGGAGGAACGAGGGGGGACAGCTAAGGGGGAGGAACGGAGGGGGGACAGCAAAGGGGAGAGGAACGGAGGGGGGACAGCAAAGGGGGAGGAACGGAGGGGGGACAGCAAAGGGGGAGGAACGGAGGGGGGACAGCAAAGAGGGAGGAACCGAGGGGGGACAGCAAAGGGGCGAGGAACGGAGGGGGGACAGCAAAGGGGGAGGAACGGAGGGGGACAGCAAAGGGGGAGGAACGGTGGGGGGACAGCAAAGGGGGAGAAACGGATGGGGGGACAGCAAAGAGGGAGGAACCGAGGGGGGACAGCAAAGGGCGAGGAACGGACGGGGGACATCAAAGGGGGAGGAACGGACGGGGGACAGCAAAGGGGGAGGAACGGAGGGGGACAGCAAAGGGGGAGGAACGGAGGGGGGACAGCAAAGGGGGAGGAACGGAGGGGGGACAGCAAAGGGGAGAACGAGGGGACACAAAGGGGAGAACGGAGGGGGACAACAAAGGGGAGAAACGGATGGGGACAGGAAAGGGGGAGAAACGGATGGGGACAGCAAAGGGGGAGAAACGGATGGGGGACAGCAAAGGGGGAGAAACGGAGGGGGGACAGCATAAGGGGAGGAACGGTGTGGGGACAGCAAAGGGGGAGGAACAGAGGGGGGACAACAAAGGGGGTGAAACGGATGGGGGACAGGAAAGGGGGAGAAACGGATAGGGGACAGCAAAGGGGGAGAAACGGATGGGGGACAGCAAAGGGGGAGAAACGGAGGGGGGACAGCATAAGGGGAGGAACGGAGGGGGGACAGCAAAGGGCAAGGAACGGAGGGGGGACAGCAAAGGGGGAGGAACGGAGGGGGGACAGCAAAGGGGGAGGAACGGAGGGGGGACAGCAAAGGGCGACGAACGGAGGGAGGACAGCAAAGGGGGAGAAACGGATGGGGGACAGCAAAGGGCGAGGAACGGATGGGGGACAGCAAAGGGGAGGAACGGAGGGGGGACAGCAAAGGGGAAGGAACGGAGGGGGGACAGCAAAGGGGGAGGAACGGAGGGGGGACAGCAAAGGGGGAGGAACGGAGGGGGGACAGCAAAGGGGGAGGAACGGTGGGGGGACAGCAAAGGGGGAGGAACGGAGGAAGGACAGCAAAGGGGGAGGAACGGAGGGGGAACAGCAAAGGGGGAGGAACGAGGGGGGACGGCCAAGGGGGAGGGACGGAGGGGGGACAGCAAAGGGGGAGGAACGGAGGGGGGACGACTAAGGGGGGGGGGCGGAGTGGGGATGAGAAAAGGGGGGAAACGGAGGGAGGACGACAAAGCGAGGAGGAACGGAGGGGGAACTGCAAAGGGCGGGGAACGGAGGGGGGACGACAAAGGGTGAGGAACGGAGGAGGGACGACAAAGGGGGAGGAACGGAGGGGGGACGGCAAAGGGGGAGGAACGGAGGGGGGACGACAAAGGGGGAGGAACGGAGGGGGGACGGCAAAGAGGGAGGAACGGAGGGGGACGACAAAGGGGGAGGAACGGAGGGGGGACGGCAAAGGGGGAGGGTCGGAGGGGGGACGACAAAGGGGAGCGGCGGAGGGGGACGACGAGGGGGGGGAACGGAGGGGGACGGCAAGGGGGTGGAACGGAGGGGGACGACAAACGGGGAGGGATGGAGGGGGACGACTGAGGGGGGACGACAAAAGGGGGAGGAGCGGAGAGGGGACGACCAAGGGGGGGGGAACGGAGTGGGCACGACAAAGGGGAAGGAAAGGCGGGGTGACGGCCAAGGGGGCGAACGGAGGGGGGACGACAAAGGGGGAGGAACGGAGGGGGGACGACAAAGCAGGAGGAACGGAGGGGGGACAGGAAAGGCAGAGGAACGGAGGGGGGACAGCAAAGGGGGAGGAACGGAGGGGGGACAGCAAAGGGGGAGGAGTGGAGGAGGGACGACAAAGGGGGAGGAACGGAGGGGGGACGGCAAGGGGGGAGGGTCGGAGGGGGACGACAAAGGGGAGCGGCGGAGGGGGGACGACGAGGGGGGGGAACGGAGGGGGACGGCCAAGGAGGAGGAACGGAGGGGGGACGGCCAAGGGGGAGGAACGGAAGGGGGACGACAAACGGGGAGGGAGGGAGGGGGACGACTGAGGGGGAGGGGCGGAGGGGGGACGACAAAAGGGGAGGGGCGGAGAGGGGACGACCAAGGGGGGGAACGGAGTGGGGACGACAAAGGGGAAGGAAAGGCGGGGGGACGGCCAAGGGGGGGGAACGGAGGGGGGACGACAAAGGGGGAGGAACGGAGGGGGGACGACAAAGGGGGAGGGACGGAGGGGGGACGACAAAGGGGGGGGGGGAACGGAGGGAGGACGACAAAGGGGAGGGAACGGAAGGGGGACGACAAAGTGGGAGGGGCCGAGGGGGGACGAGAAAGGGGGGGGAACGGAGGGGGGACGACAAAGGGGTAGGAACGGAGGGGGGACGGCAAAGGGGGAGGAAAGGAGGGGGACGACGAATCCTCGCCAGCGCCAGCGCCGGTGCTAGCGCCTATTCGCCAGTGCCAGTACCAGCGCCAGCGCCAGGACCAGCGCCAAGTCACCAGCGCCAGCGCCGAATCGCCAGCGCCAAAATGCCAGCGCCGAAACGCCAGTGCCAGCGCCAGCGCCAGCGCCAGCGCCAGCGCCAAAGCGCCAGCGCCAGCGCCAGCGCCAGCGCCAAAACGCCAGCGCCAGCGGCAGCGCCAGCGGCAGCGCCAGTGCCAAAACGCCAGCGCTTGGCGCCAAATCGCCAGCGCCAGTGCGACCAGCGCCAGCACCAGCGCCAAATGCTTAGCGCTAGAGCCAGCGCCAGCGCCAGCTCTAAGGAAACGCGCCTAGCGGTTCTACACTTACCAGGTAAATAAGCTGATGGAAACTTGAAAGTCTGGAAAGCTTTTGAGAAGGAATGTGAGGAAAGCTGAAAAGCTAGATGAATGAATTTCTGAACGAGAAACGCACGAGGAGCAGGAAACAAAAAAACGCGTTGGGAGGAGGAAGGGAGAAACGCACAGGAACGACGAAGCAAGAAACGTAAACCCCATCCCGATGCGCGTTTTGTTGTTTGTACTGTACAGAACACGAGGTACTGTAGTCAGGTTTCTCAGGTACTGTAGTTGCCGGTTTCGACTTCAAGCTGGTACAAGCTTGTGACACCACATGCGATACTTGAGGTACCTCACCCCGTAATGATTAGGCTTCAGAATGTTTCGTCAATAATTCATTGAACAGGAACAAGCAGGTTTCTTGCGTAGTTTCGGCTTCGTCACGTGCTTGGATGCCAAATCCAGCGTGTTACAGCCTAATGCTATAATGATGAGGCTACAGAAGAATGTCAAAATCATTATATGAATATAAGCATGATATCATTACATGTATATACTTAAATTAATTTAATCAATATATAAGTATATTCATGTCAATATAATACATACGTCAAAACCATCATTATGCGAAAACCAGTATGTGAATATCATTAGATTAATATCCATATTATATCAGTATATGTATATATTTATATTAATAAACCCTTGATGTGACCTAGACAAAGGTAAAAAGCATGTATTGTGCTCAACGCGCCCATTGTAATACCATATAAATTACATTTGTACATTTTCTCCTATCCAGACCATAAAGAATCATATATACTCTTTGTAGTATCATATATATCATTATTTAAATATAATTATTTATAATATTATTACGAGAAAATTTGATTCCCAATCAAATAATTTATTCCTCACAACTTACACAATTATGAACTTTAATATGAAATGTAAATTTTAACGTCATACCAACTGTATTATTCTTAAGATTCTACACATTGGAAATCTATAGACTACGCAACCCTTCCGACGCTTGGGCGTCGAGCCTTGTTTTTTTTCCTGCAAGGAAATAACACTTCCTTATCCTTGTTTACATGGGTGAGGTGGTTGAGGTCTCCCAAAACAGCTTGTTTGAGAGCAGGGTGACTGTTCAAAGCCCTCATATGAAATCTTATGGCACTCACTAATGCGCCATTTGCGGCTCATGGTCACTTGGTCATTAAACTAGAATCCCTGAATATTCACATGCAGCCACTGCTGCCCTTGTGGACTCTGGCTGCCACTCAAACTCAACCGCCACAACTGGATCCCTTACTGTCTTAGTGCCTAAACAAAACAAAATGTAGCACTATATTCAGCATGCTGGCAGCGGACTGCAGCACTGGTATCACTTGAAGCCCCAAACCTCCACATGTGCCACATTGAAGTACTCCGTGCTGCTCCCATCATAAACAAACAGGCCGGAGCAGAGAATTTTCACAGGAGCACACCATCAGGGTTAATCCACAACGGACCATCATCCCACCAAGCATTTACCAGTACCACGAATTACAGGAGACAGGCAAGAGCATCTCTTAAGAGCCTGTGCTGTGTTGTGCGCATGCACATAAGCGTGCGCACGAACTTGTGTGTGCATGTGAGTACTCGTGCTGCTTGTGACGTGTTGTATGCCAGGTCCAGCAAGGGGGAGGTACCTTGAGAGGGAGCAGCTGCCGAATGTGGAGCAGGGTCCACTGTACCCCGACAGCAGGTCTGATTGCAGCAGCAGGCTGTAGTGATCCCTGCAGTGTGTGCCACACACATCCGGGGGGTTGGGGGGCAGCGGGGCGGGATGGGGAGGTGTGGAGGGGGCGAGAGGAAAAGCAGGGTTAGAGGAGATGGCCAGGGGAATGGCACGGAGAGGACAGGAAACCAAGGTGCAAGGTACTAGCAGCAGAGACGCAGCATAGGAGTTCATCCGGCATGGCCTCCGTCTCCTTAGCACACGCCTGGCGAGGCCATCTTGACACAGAATATGCACGATTTGGAGCATAGCGTGGGCATTGCAGCATGGTGGCATGCATCTCACCCGCCACCGAGAGCGAGGGAGTTGGCGCTGGAGAGCATGAAGAGTGCGTTGGCCCGTGTCCACCGAAATGCCATCAGCTGAGGCCGCACCTGGTGGGGCATGCCATGCCATGGGGGATTGATTGACAGGGGAGCACACCAGGGTGAGATTGCAGTTGTGACAGAGGGAGGGAATGGACGATTGGTGGGTGACTATGGGTGATGGATGGGCAGGTAACTGGGATGGGGTTCTAAGACCATAGGCGAAACGGAATGAAGGTGGTGGGGGTGGGGGGTGGCTTATGGGTAGAAACATGAGGGCGGGTAGACGAATAATAAGAGGGAGCGTGCGACAGAGTGGACTGGTGGCAAACTTGTACATAAAAAAGGGGAATAGGAGGGTTCCAGGGAAACAACTGATGGCAGCGGGAGAAGGAAATACGGCAGGACACAAGTGAAGGCGCACGAGTGAGAAGGAATTATGGCAGGATGCACGAGCGGGTGTACGAGCAGCATACACCGTGCTGTAGCATACCTGGAAGACGAAGCACTCGCCATTGCCGTAATAACGAGGGGCAACCTTCCATTCCTCTGATGTGAAGCACCCAAACACCTGGTGCACGCACACGCATGGGGCACGGGGAATGTGGCATTCACTAGCTCATTTTGCGCATACCGGGCATGTGCCTTGTGAAAGGCAGTGAATAGTTTAGCCAGGCACACGAAGTAAGGGCAACATAGGCAACGGCAACAGGGAGAGAACGAGAGGTGGGAAGGGACGGAAAGGGTTGAGGGTTGGGCGGAAGGGAGCGACAGTGTGGGCAGGAGGCTCACGTGTTTGCGGGAGTCGCGCACAATGAGCAGCGAGGGGCCCTTCTTCGCCACCTTGCGGTACAGCGTCGCCAGACTGACAGGGGCATGCAGAGGCGGAGGTGGAGGGGGGAGGGGCGCAGCACCAAGGGGGACGGAGGGGAGACAGTGAGGGCAACTTAACAGATATTGATTCAGGACGGAAGTGACGGTGCAGCGAAGGGCAGGTGTGCATGGTGGCGGTGAGTGAAAAACTGATCGTCGGATTGAGGAGTGGTGGTGGTGATTGGGGGAATGGTGCAGTGCAGCACCTATCATGTACTCCCATCCCACATGCTAATGCCATGTGCACCACAAATCACCCAATGCTGCCATCCATTCTCCTCGCACCATGCCCAATCGCATGCCACCATGCCATTTCCATGAACACCACACCAGTTCCGCTCACCTGATGCCGTCCCTAGCAGTGCTGTACAGCAGCATCCACCGGGCCGTGCGCAGGCGAGCCGGCAGGGCTACTGCCACCTGTGGGTGGAAGGGGGGGCCGGGTGGGAGTGGAGGCAGAAGGCCAACGCACACGGAGCAGGGCGAGGGTGAGCAGGGGGAAGCAGAGCTACTTGGGGCCCAGCTCTGGGACAAGTCAGGAACAGGGCAAGGCTCAGCGACGCCACGCACAGCTACCTACCGGCCTTTGACCCAGCTAGTCATGTGTAAGGGTGGAGAAGGGTGGTGGGGGGGAGCAGGGTGCGGGTGATGATGCGGCACTGACCGCTTTGCAGTTGCCATCCGATAGGAGCTGGGAAGGAGCATCTTTGGAGGGGAGGAACCGACCCTCCACAGCCACCGAGCCCCACCGGATCACACTGCACTCCATGTCCTCCTCCTCCTCCTCCTCCTCCTCCTCCTCCTCCTCCTCCTCCTCCTCCTCCTCCTCCTCCTCCTCCTCCTCCTCCTCCTCCTCCTCCTCCTCCTCCTCCTCCTCCTCTTCTACCTCTCCCTCTACCTCCTCCTCCTCCTTCTTCACCACCTGCTCCCTATGCTTCCCTCTCCCCTCACCAGCACTGCTGCCCCCCTCTGCTGAATCGCTGCCTGTCTTTCCCTCCTCCCTCACACCACTCTCCTGCACCGCAGCCAAACCTACACCTCCCTCCGCCCTCCCTTGCTCACACACACCCAACCCCCCACCCCCTCCACCAGACGAGTCTGTTGCGCCCCTTTCCACCGACTGCCCCTCAGCCCCACATGCCCCCTCGCCCCTCTCACTCACCGCGCCCTGCGCCGCTGCTGCTTGCTGCGCCTCCCCTCCCCTCCTCACACCTTCCTCCTCCTTCTCCCCCTGCTCGTCTACCCTACCTTGCCCCTGCCCTTGTGCTTCATCCCGTGGTTGCACTGCCTGTGGCGCCACGGCAGCAAGGCCGTTGGCGGGTAGAGAGCCATAGAACACAGCCCACCCGCCCACCGTCGACTCCCCGCTAGGGACAGCCTCACCCCCCGCCCCCTCGTGTGATGTTCCTACCCGCATCCCTGCCCCGCCCCTGTCGCTTCCTGCACCCCCTGCCCCACTTCGCTGCACACCCCTTGGCTCTGAGCCTCGTCTCTTGCTCATGCCACCCGCTGCCGCTCCTGCTCTGCTCGCCGCTGCCGCAGCGGATGCTCCCCCTCCCGCGCCAGTGTTGGGGCGGTGAGGGGCAGTGGCGGAGGCGAGAGAGGAGAGGGAGGAGGCGGAGGAGGAGCGGGCGCGGATGGCGGCTTTGCTGGCATCGATCATGATGGCCGTGCTGTGCGCCGCTGCTGCCCACTCGCTGATCTTGCCCTCGATCGCCTTGTACCTGCCCGCATCGGATACGACACGTGGGTGTGAGATGCCATGTGGGTGTGAGATGCCATGTCATTGCGATAAGCCATGTGGCGTATGGCATGCAAGGCCAGAGTTTCCAATCCAATCCTCCCTGTTATGGATACTACGATTTCTCAAAGCTGGTGTCGTTCTGATCGCTTTTCAACGCTCATTGCAGCTCCCATCCCCACCCCATCCTCCGCACCCTACATGACGTCTCTCAGTCTAAGCACTCCCCTTGGGACCTCCACGTACCTGCAAACGCCACCTACACCATACACCTGCCACCTCGCCATACCCGTTGGCGTTGCACGAGAACGTCAGTCGTCGCATGGGCCCGTCCCACCGGCTGTCCTTCCACAGTATCTCCCACGTGCGCAGGCCCCGCTCCGCCCACCCGCCTCCCGCCTTCCCCCGCTGCTCCTGGTTCTCCCCGCCCGCCCATGTTCCCCGCCTCTGCCCGCTCTGCTCATCCCCTCTCCCCGCGGCCATTTCCCCACCATCACTCTCCCCCGCCTTATGCGTCCCCCTTCCTGCATCCCTCGCGCCGTGCCGTTCCGCCCCCACTGGTCCGCTATGCCGCGCGCGCCCCACGCCCGTCCACGAGACAGCGGCGGAACCCGACGCGGACTTGCGCGTGGCGGCGCCGCCAGCGAGCTTGGCGGAGGGCACGAGCAGCGACGATAGGAAGGCTCGCGGACGGCGGGAAGCAGCGGCGACGACGGCTGCGGCGGAAGCGGATTTGGCAGCGGGAACTGGCGACTGGAGATGAAGGTCGGCGGAGGGGAGGTCCGCGGAGGCCGCCGCGTGCGGGACCTCGCGCAAGCCGACGAAATCGGCGGAGGAGAGCTGACAGCCTATAAGACCGAAATCGATGCCGTTGGTAGACGTGGTGACGTCAGCTTCGAGCTGTCGAGGGAAAAGAAAGCCAGGCGAAACGGGGCGCGGGGTGCGAGAGATTGGAAGGAGAAACGCGGGAAGAGGTAAGGTTGACGAAAACAGACGAATCCGCTTGTGAAGTGAGCAATTACTATCAGAGACGAAGAAACGAGAACCCAAAGCTTTATTCCTAAAATGTCTCATGTCGTGTCGCCAGAGACCATTTGACCGCGCACTGCTGCTGTACCGAGCTGCTGGCTCAGTAAAGCAGGGAGCGCAGGTGACTGACCCAGTCGCGGCCAACGTGGAGGAAGAACAGCGGGGGATCGCCCAAGTCGATCGTCGCCAGATCGTCGCCGTCCATTGGGAGCACATCGTTGTCGTCCGCGCCGCTCCGTAGTTCAGGGTAAAACAATTCCAACTGCCGTCGCTCCGCGTCGTTCGCGTATGCCAGCATCTCGCGCGCCCGCGCTAGGCGGAAATCCCGGTCCTTCTCGCATGACCATAGGACTTTCCCCGCTGTTCCCGGCGAGAAATGCGGCAGGTCGTCGGACGATAAGGACTGAAGCGGAACCTCTCTAAGCGGGCCGCACGCCTCCATTTCCATTCCGACAACCAAATCAGGACTAGAATAAGGAGCTAAGCTGGTTGATGAGAGTCTACTCGTCAATAGAGTACTGCAAGTGATGTGAGTAATGTTCGGCTGGCAGATCACTAAAGCATCTGAAACAACTAACAGCAGGTGATGAGGTGGAATCTCGATCGCTCAATTCGACAGACTCACCAGCCGCCACAGATGGCTTCAGCGTTTTCCTCCGAAGGCAAGGCACGCGGTCAACCCACACAGCCAGGCACCTGCCACTGGAGTGGGGTGGGTGGTTGGCTTGGCTTGGGGAAAGGGAATGGCGCGGCTGCGACTTGGCTGGAGCGTTGTGCCAGCTGACGGACGGGGAGGAGTGGGCGGTTGGACGGACGCAGAGAGGGGCACACACACAACGCTGCAGGCAGATGGGCACGGGGGGCCGGACGCGGACGTCGCTGCAAGCGGCACGGCGATTAGCGGCGGTACAGTGGCAGCAGCAGCAGCAAAGCGAATGGCCAGGTCCGGCCTAGCCTGCAACCTCGCTCCTGTACAGCAGGCGCATCACGTTCGGCACATTGACCCGAAGCAAAAATCAGCCGGCGAATAGCAGACGTCAATCGGGAAAAAGGTAGGTGAGATTTCCACTCCGAAGCAAGATCTGGGTTTGGCTGGCACAGCTTTGGTTGATGGCAGTTGGCTTGGAAAAAGTTGCGCTGTGGGAGGAACAGGTTGGTGATATGAGAGGGCGTGTCCGAAGAGCGTTTTCGCTCAATACCCTACCCAACCGTAGTAAAATGCGATTGTAACTGTCTCTCCAAAAGCCACTTCGCTTGCGTTGGTCAAGAGCCACACTCAGAGACTTGGCTTGTAGAGCGTATAAAGCTGAATCAGTAGATCATACATCATTTATCCCTACTCAACCCCAAACAGAGAAAAATGTGCAACTCCTTCAACATTACTATCAAAAGGGTGAATGCTTTGCAAACACACATCTGGCAGTGGTTCAACATTCTTTCCTTCCAAAAAGATTGAGTACTAGTCGTCCCAGGGTTGCCTCCAATGAATGAACCCATCCCATGGTAGCAACTCCTTCGCAGTTCTTCCACTAGTTATCAAAAGCGATGGCAGCTCTTCTTTCAAGCCTTGCAACACTGCAGTAACATCTACCCCTTCAACATCTACTATGGCCTTTCCCTTGTTTTTTGCCCCCTCTTTGCCATTCCCTTTGGGCCCCTTGAGAACAACTGGAGACAGCATAAGGCGCCGCAGTTGCAGCTGCTGCCCGTTGAGCCTACGCTCCACCACCTCTTCACCCTTCTCCTCCTGCATGTTTTGCCCTCCATGTTTTGCATGCTTTTGTGCATGCCTCCTCATTTCTGTGCTTCCTGCTTCCACTTCAATAACTGGCTTATCTGCTCCTCCGTCTCCTCTTGTCGCGGCTGCAGTTGCTGCTAGCTCCTTTGCGGCGTGCAGAATGGCAAACAGCAATTCAGAGGTGACAGCAGCACAGCCCCACAGGTCCAGCAGCATAAGCTTCGGAAGCAGCAGCTGCACCACACCACCAGTGCCGCGGCCACCAGAACCAGCAGCAGCAGCAGACGTGGAATTCCCAGCGGGCCACTTCCAAGCCCCACCAAAGAGCGCCCCCGTCACAGCCTTGTCATCCACACCACTCCCCTCCAGCCTCAGCACCCGCAGCTGCTGGCAGTGATACGCCAACTGCCGCACCGCAGACCCCACTCGCACACACCCCGCCATGCTCAGGTGAACCAACCGCGTGCACCCATGTGCGAGCGCTCGTATCCCATCATCCGTCACATGGGGCAGGGGGGGGCAGCGGGGGAGGTGCGAATCGGGGGAGGTGGCGAGGATGTGTGGCTGGGCGAGGAGACAGGAGAGGCGGGGGCAGCAGCGAGCGACGTGTCTGAGCACCTGGTCATTGGCGGATGGCAGCGCGAGGCGCTCAAGGCGCGGCAGCATGGAGAGAGTCCCGCACAGCACGATCTCCTCTATTCCTGTGAGGCCCTCTGCTGCTGCGCCCCCCCATGAGGAGGGGGCGAAGGGGCGTGGCGGGAAGGAGAGGTCGAGCTCTGTGAGCCCATGGCAGCACACGCCTATGGTCTGCCACGAGGCACTGAAGGTGTGCTGCGCATGCAGGGAGCGCAGGGGGGACGCACCCACTGACCCTATGGACCCAACACCCCAAGGCCTGCCTGTGGCAGCAGCACCCACACCAGCAGCACCTGCACCAAACCCTATGCGTGGCATGGGCCCTGACCCACCCATGCTACCACATGTCGCTGCGGGCCTTGTGCCGGCTGCTGCAAGCACGGGCAGCTGTGCTCCGAGGGCGGTACTGCTAATGGCGGCTGTGCCAGCAGCGGAGGCAGCGGGGAGGCTAATCTCTGCGACAGAGGGCTTTGCTGCTGCCGCTGTGGTGGTGGTGGTGGTCGCAGCGTCAGTGGGAGGGGTGGGAGGTATGGAGGTGCGTGTGGCGGCAGCAGCAGCAGGGGGGAGTGCGAGGAGGGCGTGCAGCAGGGAGTGTGCCGGGGGCAGATCCCACTGCACGGAGCGATGGGGGGACGTGTAGAGGCGCAGGGAGGCGAGAAGGGGGAGGGAGGACAGCAGGGCGGAAGGAAAACTGCTGGGTGCGGCAGCGGTGGGGATGCGGCTGGTAGTGGCACCCATAGGAAGAGCGGATGGCGAGAAAGGAAAGGATTCAAGGGATGAAGGACCTGGGGCGGTGAATGAGGGGAAGGGGGGTCTGCGAGGGCGAGCAGCGGTGGAGGTGAGGGCAGAGGAAACTAGGGAGAGGCAGCGGAGGGAGGGTGCAAGGGAGAGCAGGGAGAAGACAGTGGGCCATGTGATGGCGTTGGAGCAGAGGGAGAGGGCCGTGAGGCGAGGCAGGGAGAGGGGCAGGTGCAGGACGGCAGAGGGGGAGAGGGACGAGGGAGTGTCAAGGTCGAGAGAGCGGAGCGAGGGGAGCGAGGAGGTGAGAGCATAGAGGAAGGAATCGTGTGGAGTGGCATGGTGGGGCAACGGCAACCTGCTTTCAGAGTCATCACCACTCGCTCCTTCTCCCGCCTCTCCTTGCTCCTCCTCCTCCTCCCCGCTCCCGCTCCCGCTCCCGCTTCCCTCCCCCCTCCACCCTGCAGCTTCCGCATTTCGTTCTCCCCAGGCGTCCTCCCCCTGTCCGCCCTCCCCGCCCTCGCTGCCTGGGAGGCAGGCGCCCGCGGAGAGGAAGTGGTTGGCGTGGAGGTTTAGGGTTTGGAGCGAGCGGGGCAGATGCGGCAGCGCGCCTCGCACGAACTCCAACGGCCGCATCGGCACGCCCAACTTCAGCACCTCGTGCCTAAACCCCGAACCCCCGTTGCCTCTGCCGCTGCTCCTGCTGCTACCGCTCCCAGCGCTGCTGTTTCTCGCACTAGCCCCGCTGCTGCTGCCGCTGTTGCTGCCCCTTCCTGTGGCGGCGGCTGGGCCCGAGGCCGTGGTGTTGGTGCTGGCGGCGCTGCTGATTATAACGGACAGGGTCGAATTGTCAGCGACGGTAGGGATAATGTTGCCGTCTCCTTCCGACCCGGAAAAACAACTCGTTATAGTCACCTCCTCCAGCATCGGCGCGCGTCGCAGTATCTCCCCGACGGTTATCGGCTTCGCGCCATCCCCCTCCGCCGCGGCCTTTCCCTTCCCCCGCCCCCCTCCGCCTCTCCGGCAGCCCCTAGCGGAAGTCTCAGGCGGGCGGAGCTCAATGGCGCGCAGAGAGTCGGAGAATCGCCGCACGAGATCCGCAAGGGCGTCGGCGGAAGCGAAGCAGCCAGTGGCGCGGAGAGTGAGCGGGGAGGGGCGGAGCTCGCGCACGCAGTGGCGGAGAGCCAGTCTGCGCCAGCGGCGGCAGACGAAAGCCAGGGAAGTGAGCGCGAAACGCGTGGGCAAGCGGGAGAGCGCAAGGGAGAGCGAATCGTCGGATAGAAGAGACATGGGCGAGCCGTCCTCGCCGTGCTCCTCACCGTGATTCGCGCCTGAACTCAAGCAGTGCCCTTCTCCGCTTTGATCGGCCGGTAGGTGATTTGCGCCTGGTTCGCGCCCAGGGTTGGTCGGTTCCGCCAGGGCGGAAACCACTGTTGGCGGAAGCGGCTCTTCCGCATCGGCCACAGGCGCGCTTGTGCTTCCGATCGTGGCGTCCGGAGGGATCGGCGCGCTTCCCGCCCGTCCCGTGGCAGCACGCCTCATGCTCCGCGGGCGCTGGGGGAAAGGCGCCGTGCGCGCGCGCTTGCTTTCGCGCATGGCGGAAGGAAGAGTCGCGGTAGTTATCTGGAGAGCGGCGCAGGTAGTGATCCGGGTGATTGCAGCGCGGCAGAAAGGAAATCACGCGCCAGTGTGAGAGATGGGGAAAGGGAGGGCGGAGGCAATTACGCGGTGCGGTAGAAGCGAGGCATGCACCCACTGGCGTGTGTTTCTGGTGTGTGGATTTTGCTCATATCAAATCATCCCTAGAAGCACACAGACAAAAGACTTCCGAAAGAGAGGAACTAGTAGTAGTGCTTTTTGGCGCACATATGCAACATGCACCAGCACAGCCCAGCGCGTCTCTTCCCTTCCCTCTGCATACCAAGTCCCAAGTCCCAAGTCCCAAGTCCCATGGTACAACACGAGAGCCACCAGCCTTGCAGTGTCGTTCACGTCCTCCGCGTCCGCCTCTTTCCTCTTAATTCTTAGGCTACGCCTCGCTCGTCGCAGCGACCGCGCTGCAGGCTCAGCCGCTGGTCTTTAGAGATCTCGTCGCATTTAGTCGCCTGTCGCACGTTCCGTCGCACGGGCTGTCGCTCACGCGAATCTCTGCGACGGCGATGGATACCGAAGGCGGAGATATGGACGACACGCGGGAGGGGGGAGAACGGGGGGAAGGCGCAGACGGAGCGCCGCGATGGGGGGCGGAGTCTGCGCAGGACCGAGGCAAACGGGCGCGGGGCGGGGACGGGGAACCGGGGAAGGGCAGGAGTGGCGCAAAGAAGGCGCGCGCCATGCATCCGCAGAACCGATACGCGGAGAACCCGCCCGACTTCCGCGTGCTGGCGGAGCAGCACCCCGCGCTGTCGCCGTTCCTGCTGCCGGCGCGGCGGGCGGGCGGGCCGGTGGGGTTCATGTGGACTAACTACAACGCGACGCGCGAGCTGACCAGGGCGCTGCTTAAGGCGGACTTCGGGGTGGACTGGTGAGGGGGAGGGGGAGGTGAGGTGCAGAAAGAGGGGGAGGAGTGGGGGGGGAGGAGTAGGGCGAGAGGAGGCGGGTCTTAGGGAGGCGGTGGCTGAATGTGTGGCCGCTGACGTGCGGCCATGTGCGTGCGCAGTCGCCTGTTCCCGTGTGGGGTTTCAGAGGCGCCTGCCTGCCTTCGTACCTGCATTCAAAGGCATCCACCCCTCTCCGCGCTTGTGCCCCCCCCCCCCCCGTCCTCCCCCTCCACACGCCATGGCGCGCAGGTGGATAGAGCGCGGGCATCTGTGCCCCACCGTGCCCAACCGCGCCAACTACCTGCACTGGCTGCACGACCTCCTCGCCTCGCTCCCCCCCTCGCAGCACCAACCCGCCTGCGCCGCGGAGCAGGGCGCTGAGGCATGCGCTGCAGCACCGGGAGCAGGACGGACGGACGGCGGGGGCGAGGGAGGGGTAGGGGGGCCGGGAGGGGGAGAGGGAGATGGAGGGGGAGAAGGCGGGGGAGAGAGAGAGGCAGGGGGGAGGCGGGCAGCAGTGCGGGGTGTGGACATTGGCACGGGCGCTAACCTCATCTACCCGCTGCTGGGCGCCGCCATGTTCCGATGGTCGTTCCTCGCCACAGGTGCGAGTGCCTGGCGCCATGCTCCTCTCATTTCGTGTGCATGCCCCCTACTTGCCTCCTACTTGCCTCCTACTTGCCTCCTACTTGCCTCCTACTTGCCTCCTACTTGCCTCCTACTTGCCTCCTACTTGCCTCCTACTTGCCTCCTACTTGCCTCCTACTTGCCTCCTACTTGCCTCCTACTTGCCTCCTACTTGCCTCCTACTTGCCTCCTACTTGCCTCCTACTTGCCTCCTACTTGCCTCCTACTTGCCTCCTACTTGCCTCCTACTTGCCTCCTACTTGCCTCCTACTTGCCTCCTACTTGCCTCCTACTTGCCTCCTACTTGCCTCCTACTTGGCTCCTCCCATTGCATCTCTTCCCCCACACCTCGCCTCCCCACCTCCACGCTCCACCTGCCCGCCCCACTGTCAACCCCCCACCGGGCGTCCCCACGAGCCCCAGACGTGACAGCGAGTGCCCTGCAGGGCGCAAGGGCCAACAGAGAGCGCAACCCGCACCTCGCACACCTCATCGACATACGCCGGGCGGGGGAGGTGGGGGAGGCGGGCAGGGAAACGGGGGAGTCGGAGCGGTGCCATGGTGTGAGTGGGGGGAGCGGAGGGGCGGGCGGTGGGGGAGGAGCGAGGGAGGGACGTGAGGCAGAGGCATGTGGGTTGATGAAGGGTCGCGGGGAACGCGGGGTGGGTGGGGATGGTGAGGGGAATGGGGAGAATGTAAGCAAAGAGGATGGGCGGGGGGAGCAGGAAAAGGGGCTGGTTGTGAGGAGCCATGGGGAATGGGGCGGGGAGAAAGGGGGGGCGGAACTGAGAAGAGGGGTTGAGGGTTCAGGAGGGGGAGTGGGAGAGGGGAAGGCAGTAGAGAGAGGAGATAGTGAGTGTGTGGTAGGGAGGGAGGTAACGATAATAGGTGGGGGAGTGGGGGGTGAGGTGGGCGAGGGGGAGGAGAGGAGTGAGGAGAGGGAGGATGGCATGGCGGATAGAAATGGAGAGGGGGGGAGGTGGGAGGAGGGAGACGATGGGGAAGGAGCAGCGGAAGAGGAATTGCGGCAGCAGAGGGCAAAGGAGATGGAGGGGCGCGTGAGGAGTGCAGGAGGGAACAGCATAGCAGGGGAGGGAGGGGAAGGGGAGGAGAGAGGGGAAGGGGAGGAGAGAGGGGAAGGGGAGGAGAGAGGGGAAGGGGAGGAGGCAGCACGTGGAGACGCGCCAATACTGGTGGGGGTGGTGCGGGAGGGCGAGGCGTTTGACTTCTGCATGTGCAACCCGCCCTTCTTCGAGTCGATGCAGCAGGCCAGCGCCAACCCGCGCACGGCGTGTGGCGGCACGGCAGCGGAGATGGTGTGCGCGGGGGGCGAGCTGGCGTTCATCCGCCGCATCATTGCCGACAGCTGCAAGCTGCGCTCCCGCATCAGGTGGGTTGGGGGGTCTGCGTGGCTGTGAGACGTGGTGACGTATGGGTTGGTCAAGGTGCTCTGGCTGTGGCTCGGAGCCGCAGCTCTCGGGAAGATGTTCGGGATGATTGCTCGCCTGCTTGACGCTCGTTGCAGTGCTGCGGAGTTGTGTGGGGAATGGAGGAATGGAGCAGATCAGGCGCATGGGGCGAATGGCCATGGCATGGCATGGCGTGGCATGGCTGTAGAGGACGACATCAAGAATGCCTGATTCCCTTTTCTGGGTTCCACCCCTCGCTCCTTGTATCCGCGTGTTACTTCTTTACTGGGTGCGTGTGCATGTTGCTTGAGGGGCCATACACATGCGTGGCATGCTGTTGACACGACTGCGTGGCTGCATGCATGGCATGGCGTGGCATGGCTTGGCTGCGTGGCTGCATGGGTGCATGGAGCAGGTGGTTCACATCCATGGTGGGGAGGAAGGTCAACCTGAAGCACTTACTCACCCACCTGCGCTCCCTGCATGTGAGGGCCGCCATGTTTCCTTCCAATGCATGTCACCGCGGTCCCTCTCCGCGCATCTTCTTATTCTCATGCGCTATCGTATCGTATGTATTTGTGGACGGCATTGAACCCTGCATCAATAACCCCCCTAGTGCACACGGTTGCATTGCATGGCTATCCCTCCCCCTCCCAAGCAACTCCACGCCCTCACTCACCACTTGCTTCCTTCCCCCAACCTTTCCACTCACCCCTCGTGCCCGCTGCGCCAGGTGCCACGCATAGCAACCACGGAGTTTGTTCAGGGCCGCACGTCCCGCTGGGGCATCGCATGGTCCTTCATTCTGCACGCCCGCCCCTCCTCCACCTTCTCCCTCTCCCACTCCTCCACTCCCCATGCACCTCCCATCGGCCCTTCTCTCCCAATCGGCCCCTCCCTTCCCCCCATCGGCCCTTCTCTCCCAATCGGCCCCTCCCTTCCCCCCATCGGCCCTTCTCTCCCAATCGGCCCCTCCCTTCCCCCCATCGGCCCTTCTCTCCCAATCGGCCCCTCCCTTCCCCCCATCGGCCCGTCTTTTCCTTCCACCGCGCCCTCTCCCTCAATCGGCCCTTCCCTTCCTCCACCTTCCTCCTCGCATCCGCCCCTGTGCGCCCTCCCATGCGCCCTCCCCATGCCCCTGCTGCACCCGAAGACGTCCTTCACACTGCAGGTGCGGTTGTAGAGGGGGGCAGGGGACGAGGGGCAGGCTGTGGAGGAACGGTGGAGGATGGGGAAGAGGGAGATGGGGCATGAAAGGGGGCGTGGGGTGTGTCAAAGAAAGGGTCATGTGATGTTCTTTCCTACAGTTTCAAGAAATTGATTGGGGTGTTGTGGTGCACATTTTCCCCATGTCTCATGTGCCCGCTCCTCACCCTCCACCCCACCCATTCCCACTTTCTCACCACTACCCACCGTGCCGCCCTACCAGGGACTCAAGGGCGCAGGGGCGGTGGGAGCAGTGTGGAAGCAGCTGGTGCGAGTGGTGGGGGAGAGCGGAGTCACGGGCATTCAGCCCAACCACCACACGCTGTCCATCCGGGTGAGTACGCGCTCTGGCCCCTGCCCTGCTACAGCTCTTTGATTACCGTGGCATACTCAATTCCACTGGAATGTAATGTGCAATACCACAGCAGCATATCATGTCACGCCATGTTGCTCCATGTCATGCCATGCCACGCCAGGTATATATACATCGTCCAGCTATACTCGTGATATGGGCGCCATATATGCTCGTCTCTGAGGTAATTTGTGCGATGGACTTTCCTCTCTTCTCTCGTTTCCCTTCCAAGTCTCTTTTATCACCCGCGTATTTCCCCCCTCCACCCTCCCCCCTCCTCCTTCCCTCCTGTCCCCCTCCCACCCCGCTCCAACGTGCCCCTTTTCTCCAGTCCATTTTTCCTTTGACTGGTGCCTATGGGATCACCACAAAAAGTTCCTCTCCAGCAGCACTTCCATGTCAAATACAAGTGAAGAAAGTGTGCCTTAGGTCTCATCTCTTCCCCCTCCCTTCCCCCCCCCCCCTTTGATTCGCCCTGCTGCCATGGCATGCAGGGTACACTGGCAGCACAGGGAGCCGGGGATGGAGGGGAGTTAGGAGTTGAGAGTATAGCAGGGGCGGAGCAGGCACAGAGCGCAGCAGCAGTGCATGTCACCTTCCAGGTTGCAACCTCTGCCTCTCCCTCTCCCCTTGACTGACTTCCTCTTCGTCTCTCCCTCGCTCCCTCCTCCCAGCTTTGAGTACTTCTGAGCACCTACTTTTCCATTGTCCCCATCCCCTTCCATCCGATCGCATCACACCCCATCCCATCCCTTCCCATCCCATCCCATCACACCCCATCCCATCCCTTCCCATCCCATCGCATGCCCCCTGTCCTGCTGCTCCAGCTCCTACAGCACGCGCCAGGTGCTGTCACTGTCAGTGCCACAGCAAGCACAGCAGGCAGAGCAGCAGGCGGCGGCACAAAGCAACTGCCACCAGGTAACTGCTTGCCGTGCCACTCACAAACAGGTGAGGGACGTGGGACGAAGGGTGGGGGGGTGGGACGAAAGTCGGGGTGGGTGGTTGCAGCCTTGGGGTTGGTTGCATCCTAGGTGGAGTTGGTTGCATCCTAGGGGAGTTGGTTGAATCCTAGGGGGGCTTGGTTGTGTCCTAGGGAGGCTTGGTTGTGTCCTATGGGGCTTGCTTGCACATTAGGGGGGACTGGCTCCTTATACTGATCAGAGAATCCTCTTCGCCTCTTAACATGCTATATGGTGCTGCTTCTGTGGCATGGCATGGCATGGCATGGTGTTATCTTATTCAGGTTACCTGCAGCGGTTCTCAGCCATGATACAGCAGTGCCGGCTGAGACTCACCCAGTAGGACCCTCACCACACCACACATAGTCACCGCATGGGTTGCGCCTCACTGCTGTCTGCGACATGCAGCCTCTCAGCGTGAATGCTGTGCATTGCAAAAATTAGAAAACACCAAGCCTAAACCCAAAACCCTGAGCAGCACAATTGATGGGCAATTTGATTCCTTGTGACTGAAGCATTACCTCTTACTTCAAGAGCCAACAAGTGGAGTAGACTCTTCAAAGAGGCTGTCCAATCAAAGCTTGTACAGGTCATATGCCCTGAGAGCCCGGGGGGCGACTCGGGGGATTTCGCGTACATCGAATATGCTCGGGCAAACGGGACTCTGGCGTCTCGCAAAATGTTTTTTGCTTGTATTTTATGAACTGTTCATGGTCGGCAGTGTTGGCGTTTGTTGCGATCAGGTGTCGCTTGTCAACTTATACATATTATCTATGTAGAAGTTATAGGCTAGACTGAGGTATGCTTCTAGTGAGTACAACCAACTAGTATTTGTTCTAGGTTTCCACCTCTAGTAAATCATTCGTTTCTACGTTAACATGGTATCACGCTTAGGTTAGGATCCCCCCGCCTACCGCTTCCGCCCGTCGCGCCTCCTAGGCCCCGTCGCGCCCCCTAGGCCCCGTCGCGCCCCCCCTGGGCCCCGTCGCGCTCGTTAGGCCCCGTCGCGCCCCCCCTGGGCCCCGTCGTGCCCGCTGAGCCCCGTCGCGCCCACTGGGTCCCGTCGCGACCCCTAGGCCCTAACTCGCCCCCGCTGGGCCCCGTTGCGCCTCCTAGGCCCCGTCGCGCCCCCCATGGGCCCCGTCGAGCCCGCTGAGCCCCGTCGTGCCTCCTAGGCATCGTCGCGCCTCCTAAGCCCCGTCGCGTCCCCCCCCTCTGGGCCCCGTCGCGCCCGTTCGGCCCCGTCGCGCCCCTCCTAGGCCCCGTCGCGCCCGCTGGGCCCCTTCGCGCTTCCTAGGCCCCGTCGCGCCTGCTAGGCCCCGTCGCGCCCCCCCTGGGCCCCGTCGCGCCCGTTAGGCCCCGTCGCGGCCCCCTGGGCCCCGTCGTGCCCGCTGGTCCCCGTCGCGCCTCCTCGGCCCCGTCGCGCCCCCCCTGGGCCCCGTCGTGCCCGCTGGGCCCCGTCGCGCCCCTTAGGCCCCGTCGCGCCCGCTGGCCCCTGTCGCGCCTGCTGTTAGCGCTCGCCCGCCTGGCCTCCTCCTAGTGCCGCTCGGCCTCCTCCTAGTGCCGCCCGGCCTCCTCCTAGTGCCGCCCGGCCTCCTCCTAGTGCCGCCCGGCCCCTTCCTAGCGCCGCCCGGCCTCTCCTCAGCGCTGCCCGGCCCCTCCTCGTGCCCGACCGGCCCCAGCAGCACCAGCCTGGCCCCTCCCAGCACCAGCCCGGCCCTAGAGCACCTGCCCGCCTCCCCTGCTCGGCCTGCCGTGTCCTCTCGGGCCCTGTGTCTTCTGCTTGCCTGCGCTGGGACGCCTAGCTGCTGCCCTACTGGAGAGTGCTGCCGCCGTGTCCCCGCGCCGCTGTGCTCCTGTGCCGCTGAGGAGCTGTGCTGCTGTGCCGCTGTGTCGCTGAGGAGCTGTGCCGCTGACCCTGCACGATGGCTGACTTTGTGCTCCGCCTGGACGCTGAGGGCCACGCGGTTGACTTCGCCGCCTGGCTCTCCGATCTTCGCCGCCAGCTTACAGGTCAGCGCCAGGATGGCCACTCTCTAGTTGTCCATGCTGATGGCTTGCTCCCCCGTCCCCCTGCACCTACTCCCCTCCCTGCTGACCCCTTCTCTGATGACCGTGAGGCTTTCTCTACTGTGCTCCTGTGTCTGAGCGCTCGCGTTTTGCTACTGTTGAAACGGCCAAAGCTTATTTAGACGCCGTTATTGCTCGCTATTCCACCCCTGCCTCCGCTTCTGCTGGCCGCTTGCTCTTTCCGATGCTGTTCCCAGACCTGGCTGCCTTCCCTACTGTCGCAGATTTTGCCACTCATTTGCGTGCCCTAGAGACTCGCTATCGCACTGCCAGCACTGCTGCCCAGCTCACTGCGCTCCCCCCTCCTTTCTGCATGACGCTCTATTTTATCGCTATGCGCCTGCCAGACCGCCTCGCTAGTGCTCGCGACCACTTTCTTAGCCAGCACCCGGGTAACCTCACCCTGACCGCCTTTGTCGACACCCTCACTGAGATCGAGACTCGCCAGCGCACTATCGCTCAGTCGAGCGGTGCGCCGGCAGTCTCTATCTTTCACGGTTGTGCCCCATCCCCGTGCACGTTCACTGACGTTTCGGCTGCGGTCGCCACGGCGACCCCTCTTACCGAGACGGCTGCTGCTGTCCACCCGCAGCAGCGCTCGCGTCGCGGTGGCCGTGGCCGCCAGGGAGGTAGGGGTGGTGACACAGGTGGTAGTGGTCGTGGTGGTGGTGACGGTAGTCCGCCTGAGGGACTACCACCGGTGGGCAGGAGCAGCAGTCCCAGCAGCAGCAGGACCAGCCCCAGCCGCAGCCGCCGTCCCAGCAGCACCCGCCGCAGCCGTGGGCTCGTCTCCCGCCTGGTTGGCCCGGCACCTCCGGAGGCGGTGGCCGTGGTGGCGGCCCGCGCAGCTTGGCGTCTACCAGCGGCTCCAGTGCTGTGACCTGCCAGTACCAGCTTCAGACCGGGCCTCTCCGCGGCACTCTGTGCCGCCGCCCGCACCCGACCGCCCGCTGTTTCCGCCGCCTCGACGATCTTTTTCGTCGTCGCTTTGGCCCGGCCCCGGACCTCCCTGACTGGCACAGCCTGCTCCGCCAGGGCGTGCCGATCTTTGAGTTAGACATGGATCAGATAGGTGCTGCTTTGCATGCTTTGTATGCTGACGCTTCTAGTGTTGATGGATCTTACTACCATGTGTACTCTAGTTTAGGTGTTTCACCCTTGTGTAGCTTAGCTTCCCCTGCTGCGACAGGCGTAGGACTGCCTAGGTTGCCTAGTCTAGTCGCTGCACCGGCTCCGTCCGCGGCCTCCGCCACTGCGTCGCTGTCCTTCACTCTCGACTCTGGTGCTTCTGCCTGCTTCTTCCGCGACCGTTCCACGCTCACGCCGCTTGCTGCACCTGCTGTTGTCTCTCTCGCTGACCCCTCTGCGGGTCCGGTCGTCGCGCGCAGTTCTACGTCCCTTCCCTGTCCGGCAGTTCCCTCGGTCGTCCTGCCCCGTCTGGTGTCTCCCACGTCACTCCCCTCCCGTCGGTTGTCCCCGTTGAGGAGTCTGCTGACTCTGGTGGTACCCCCGGTCCGTCCTTGCCGCGTCCCCCTTCCCCGGTGCCTCCGCCCCCACTGTCGCAGTCGCCGACCCCGCTGCCGCCGCCGTCGCCGTCGCCGCCGCAGCCGTCGCCGCTTTCGTCGTCGCCGCCGCCGCTGTCGCTGCCGCAGCCGTCGCCGCTGTCGCCGCCGCCGCAGCCGTTGCCGCCACTGCCGCCGCTGCTCTCGGCCCCTGGGGGTGCTGGTGTGGAGGAGGGTGTTCGTCCTGCGGCTTCTGGGGGTGCCGCTGGTGTTGGAGGGGGTTCTCGCTCTGGGGGTGTTGGTTCTGGGGGTGCTGCTGTTGAGTGTTCTGCCGACGGTCGTTCTGCCTCTGCTGGTCCGAGAGTTCCGGCCCAGCCGTCGTCGCCGCCGCAGCAGCCGTCGCCGCCGGTTTCCGCTCTCCGCCTGCTCGGCCTTCCCTCCCCGGACCGCGCGCCGGTGTCACCCCCACCGCCTCCTGACCTCCCTGTCTACGGTCCTGTGTTCCCGCCGCCAGACTCGTCTCCGGCCCGTCTTCCTCCTCGTTCCCCTCCTGTGTCTCCTCCGCTGTCCCCTGACCCTACCCCTCCGTCTCACGTTTGGGCTCGCCGTCCCTCCCGTGCTCGTCCCGTCTCTCCTGTCCTGCCCACCCACCCTATGTTGCTCCGTTCCCACTCGTCTCGTCCTCCCCTCCTCCCGTCCCCTCCTCCCTCGTCCCTTGCTGTTGCACCTCCTCCGTTCTCTGACTACCTCCGTGCTGCTCGTCCCCTTGTCCCTCGGGTCCTTGCCTCTCTTGTTACCGACCCTGCTGTTCCTGTCTCGCGCCTTGACGCGCTTGTCGCTGCTGTCGCTGACTTCGCTTCTACCCGCCGCCTTGACTACGCTACCGCTCTGGTCTCTGACCCTGCCCGTCCTCTGTCCGTCGGGGGTGCTCCTGCCCTTGGCAGTGACGTCCTAGAGGACAGGCAGTACGAGCTGGCTTTCCTTTCCGAGGCTGCTCCCCATCTCTGCTCCATGCTGTTAGTCCCTGAGGGTGACCCAGACGCCTTCGACATCCCGACCCCTCGCACCTACGCTGAGGCCACCTCGGGACCTTGGGCCTCTCAGTGGATAGCTGCCATGGAGCAGGAGATGGCATCTTGGAGATCCACCGGCACTTACGTCGACGCAGTTCCCTCGCCTGGGGTGAACGTAGTCGATGGTCGGTGGCTCTTCAAGGTGAAGCGCCCCCCTGGAGAGCCGCCTGTCTTCAAGGCGCGCTACGTGGCCAGAGGTTTCAGTCAGCGCGAGGGGGTTGACTTCTTCCAGACCTTCGCCCCGACCCCGAAGATGACCACTCTTCGGGCGCTGCTACACGTAGCAGCACAGCGTGACTACGAGCTTCACTCTCTCGACTTCTCTACTGCCTTTCTTCAGGGCAGCCTACACGAGCAGGTCTACCTGCGCCGACCACAGGGCTTCACTGGTACCTTCCCTCCTGGGACCCAGTGGCTTCTCAGGCGCCCGGTCTACGGCCTGCGTCAGGCTCCCCGCGAGTGGCACGACACGCTACGTGCCACGTTAGCAGACCTGCAGTTCTTTCCGTCCTCTGCTGACCCATCACTGTTTGTGCGTTCCGGCCAGACTCCGTTCTACATCCTTGTCTACGTAGACGACCTGGTCTTCGCTACTCCTGACAGAGACGCACTGGCCTCTGTGAAGGCTGAGCTGCTGAAGAGACACACCTGCACTGACCTTGGAGAGCTGCGTCGCTATCTTGGCCTGCAGATCTCTAGGGACAGAGCAGCACGCACCATCACTCTGACCCAGTCACACTTGGTGCGTCAGGTCCTTCAGAGGTTCGGTCTTCAGTTCTCCTCCGCACAGCCCACACCTCTACCCGTAGACCATGGGCTCTCTGCTCCCGTTCCTGAGGAGCCAGTAGAGCCCAGTGGCCCCTACGCAGAGCTGGTGGGTTGCCTCATGTACCTGATGACTTGCACTCGCCCAGATCTCGCATACCCTCTCAGCATCCTGGCTCGCT